CATCTGCGCCTCATCAGTGGGGCCCTGGCGGGGCTGCTGGAGGCCCAGCTGTGGTGACTTTTCTTTGGGATTCTTCTCTCTGGACAGACATGGGGACCCGAAGAGCGTACTGGGACTCCCACCTTGCAAAGAGGTGCATAAATCACAGACACTGGACCTCCAGTCACCATCCCCTCCCCTATCATCAACCTCCATCATGCGAGCTGCCCCACTATTTGTAGCTGGACCTCCCTTCTAGCCCTGGCCTACAGGCCCCTCCTCCTCCCGACCACTAGCCCCTGGTTGTCAAAGGTCCGCCTTCTTTACCACCCTGCACAGCCCTACAGACTTCTTTCTGGTAGCCTAGAGCTGTCTCCAGCCTCAACCCCACCCCTTCTGGGCAGCTCCAGCAGCCCACTTGCCATGCACCCATGCCTCACCTCCCTCTTCAACACGCACAGCTCTCCAGGACCTCCAATGCTCCTGCGAGTACCCCAGCTGCCAGGATCCCCAAAGACATCCCGCCCCTTCCTCCCAGGGCCTTCTAGGTGCATGCACCCCAACCTTACTTATCAACAGTCTGGAGTTCTCTGACCTCCACACTCCTCCAAGACCCTCCAATAACCTCTCCCTCCCCAAAAGCACCCAGAGTAGCACACTAAAGCCCTCCCACACTGCACACCCCCTACAAAGGAGGCAATATCTCACAGTCACCTCCCTTCGGTCCCGCCTAAGCCCCGCCCCCATGGGGGAATCCTTCCACCAAACCCCTGACGTCGCACCGCTCCTCCCCACAAGCCAGGACCAGGAGTCTCCAGGCCCAGACCACCTCCCTTGGCCCACCAGCCCGGCGCACCCCCACTACACCACGCCCCGCCCCTCTCAGGCCACGCCCACGCCCCGGCGCTCCTAGGCCACGCCCATCTCCGAACCTCGCCCTCCCATAGGCTCCCCTGTGCACCGCTTGGAGGGGTCTCGGGCACCCCGCCGGCTCCCCACGGTCCCTTGCCTAAGTTGTTCCCGCCGCCCAGCCGACGTCACGCACCCTGCGGAATCCGTGAGCTTCTGGCCGGGCCCCGCGCTCTTGAATTTGATGTCAGCCTTGATCTCCTGGAAGAACTTCTTCATGGCGGCGGCGGCCCGGCAGCGAGGGCCGCGGGGCGGGGGCGCAGGGCCCGGGTAGGGAGGAGCAGGCGGCCAAGCACCGGAAAGAAAATATCACGGCGCCGGAAGTCCCGCCCGCGCACGTGACAATCGCCTTGCACGCACCTAGCGCAAGGCGCCGCCTACCTGTCTGCCGACGCCGTTGCCAGGGCGACGGACCCGCCTCCCTCAGGACCCCGGCGTACTGCCAGAGAGCGCTAGAGAACATCGCAGCCACCGCGCGGCCTCCAAGTGCCCCTGTGAAAACTAGGCTGCAAGTGATGATTTCAAGGCCAGCCTGGACTGAAGAGAAAACAAGCCTGATGGGAGCACGGAATCTCTTTTGGGAGGAACAAGACAGAAAAAAAGGAGTTGACAGAGGGATTGGTACAAGGAAGGTCAGAGCTGGCCCTGGACTACTCTGCTGGGGAGGTAGGTACCTCAGCACTTGCCCAGCATATGTAAAAGCCTGAGTTTAATCTGCAACATTTCCAGTATTCAGTGGTGGGTACACTGAACAAAAAAGATGGATGCTCTGGGCATACTGACGGTCTGTGATTCTTAACAAAGGAAATGCTAATTGCTTCTAAAGCCTGGGGCCTGCAGGTCTCACTAGGTTAATTTCCTAGCTCCAGAACTTGCCCTGCAGAGGTAATAGAGGTGAATATTTTACTTAACTTGTGAACTTAAGATGGCATAAACAAAATATAGGTCTCAAAATACAGGTCTTTGCTTCCAGCAGAGGATCTCATGTAGCCTAGGCTGGCCTTGAAACTCTGATCCTCCTGCCTCTGCCTCCCAAGGGTTGAGGTGACGGTTTTGTGTCACCTTGACAGGATAAAAGTGTGTGTGTATGTGTGCAGTGTATGCACACATGTGGTATGTGAGGGTGTGCATGTATGTTATCTGTACAGAGACCAGAGGAGGACGATGGGCGACCTCACCCTTCCTTCAGCTTATTCCTGGGAGACAGGGTCTCTCACTGAACCTGGCGCTTGGCTGGCAAAAAGCCACAGCCATCCTCTGGTCGCTGTCTCACACAATCTGGGCAATCCTGAGCACTGGGATGTCAGGCAGAACTGACCCAGCTCTCTGTCAACTTTTTAGGTCCTGAGAGGTCCATGCAGCATAGACAGCCCACAGCTATTAGGCTGTTTTCCTTTGAGATTGTACATAGAACTGTTATGCCCAAATCCGTGGGTCCCCACAAAAGCCAACAAAGGAGACTGAGTCCCATATGTAAAAGCAAAGAGCCTTTATTTTAATCAAGGAGGTCGGGTAATCTCGGCCTGCCAGGCATTGTCTCAGGGTAAATGATTGAGACTCTAGACTCCATTTAAATTCATTGGTGACCAGAGTCCCAGGAGATAATGGTTGGAGAAACTCCCTTTCTGCCCAGACGTAGATTATCATGGCCGACCCTCACAAGAACCTAAATAAACAAAAACAGAAACAGCTTTTTTGTTTTATTTTTTGTTTTCCGAGATAGGGTTTCTCTGTGTAACAACTCCAGCTGTCCTGGAACTAACTTGTAGACCAGGCTGGCGTTGAACTCATACAGATCTGCCTCTCTCTGCCTCCCAAGTACTGGAATTAAAGGCGTGTGCCACCACTGTATGACAGAAACAGTTCTTTATGATGTGAGGATTCTGTCGTGGAGTTCCAGAAATCCCAAGGATCAAACAGTTCAGGATAGGGAAGTCACTAACACTCAAACTCCATGGGATTTTTGCGACAGCAGAGAGCTCGCATTAGGAAATATTCCTAACAGGGACATGTTACATTGCAGACCCTCTTTTACAGCTGGAGAGACTGAGACACTCAGCACAATGTGGTTTTTGTTCATTATGGTATTGCATAGTTCGTGGCATGACATATAGTAGGTGCTCAATTACTGCGTTGTAAATGAAATAAGCCCTGGGATGGGGTTCAACGGGTGGAGCACTCACCAAACATGCAGGACACCTGGGTTCCATCCCCAGCACCGCAAAAGCACTTGGAATAGAGTCAGAAGAGTCAGTTCAAGGTCAGCCTTAGCTAGATAGCTATTCAGAAACTAGCCTGGTCTAAATAAGATCCGATCAAAAAATAAAATCAATGGAGAGCTGGAGAAATGACTCAAAGGTTAAGGACACTGGCTGTTCTTCCAGAAGTCCTGAATTCAATTACCAGCAATCACATGATGGTTCACAACCATCAATAATGAGATCTGGAGCCCTCTTCTGACCTGTAAGCATACATGCAAGAAGAACACTGTACACATAATAAATAAATCTTAATAAAGAAATAAATAGACAATGAATAAAACTAAAATACAGTATGAAGAACTGGAGAGATGGCACAGTGCTTAAGAGCTGCTCTTCCAGAGGACCTGAGTTCAATTCCCACCACGCACACGGCACCTCACAACTGTCTGTGACTCCAATTCCAGGGGATCCAGCTCCCTCTTCTGGCCTCCTCAGGCACCAGACATGTAGGTGCATACATTCAAGCAGAACATCCATACACATAAAAGGATTTTTTTTTTAATTTAAAAAAGGTGGGTGGAGAGATGGCTCAGCGGTTAAGAGCACTGACTGCTCTTCCAGAGGACCCGGGTTCAATTCCCAGCACCCACATGGTAGCTCACAACTGTCTGAAGATCCAGTTCCAGGGGATCTGACACCTTCATACTAATGCACATAAAATAAATAAACCATAAGAAATTTTTTTTTAAAAAAGGTACAGTATAAAAGAAAATAGAAACCAGGCGGTGTTGGCCCAGGCCTTTAATCCCAGCACTCAGGAGGCAAGGGCAGGTGGATCCCTATGAGTTTGAGGTCAGCCTGGTCTATATAGCGAGTTCCAGGACAGGCTGCTGGCTCCTCACAGCTATCTTTGGACTTCTACACATGTTTTGCGGCATGTGTTTGCTTGCCCACACATATCACAGGTTTTTTTTAATCTAAGAAATAAAAATAAACTGGGCAGTGGTGGTACACGGTTTTAATCCCAGCACTTGGGAAGCAGAGGCAGGTGGATCTCTGTGAGTTCGAAACCAGCCTGGTTTACAAAGTGAGTTCCAGAACAAGGGCTGTTACACAGAGAAATTCTGTCCCAAAAAAAAAAAGTTACAAAGGTTCCAAGTATAAAGGTTCTATAAATATAAAATAGAAATATGTTGCGTATTATAAACAAAAAATAAACATACAATTTAAAAATAAAGCTAGCATCTGCCCGCCCTTTTGTCAGCCCCGCCCTCTCGCGCTCCGCCCCTTATCCCACCAACTATCGGCGGGAGTTTGCTGCGCACCTTTGAACCTGTTCTCTTGTCAGCCATTGGTCAAGCTGTAGCCAATGGACTTCACTCTGGAAGGACAATAATCCATCTTCTACGCTGACTGCATACATTTCATCTAGTGGCCTCCAATGGCCTGTCCAGTACGGCTGTGCACGTCCCGCCCTCCTAGGCCCCGCCCCATCGCTTCTGGATACTGGTTTCCGTCTTCCTTCAACCTCCAGCCCGCCCAGTGACCCGGAGGCCCCGCCCCCGCTCCCATCGAAGCCCCGCCCGCCTCCGCCTAATTCATATTATCCCCTAAGCCCCGCCCCACACGCTGAACGCGTCCCACCCTAAGCCCCGCCTCATCATTCCTCGCTAGGCTCCGCCCTGTAGCCCCTTAGGCCTCTGGTCCGACAGCCTCCACCCCGCCCACTGGTCCTTAGGCCACGCCCTTAGCTCCTGCTCCGTTATCCAATCCCGTTAGCTAACTCTGTTCCAACCCCTCCCTTTATTGGTCCCCGCGCTTCTCTGTGGGAATGAGGGACAGCATCGGCGGCCCGTGGCGGAGGAAGGGTGGGACTTCCGGCCACACTGAACCCAATAAGTAAGCGCCGGCCGGCGACCCGTGCGGACGCCTCCGCCCCTCAGGCGTCCGACTCCCGCCTCCGGTTTCGTCTTCCAGCCGCCGTGCCGTTGCTGCTTCCCGCGGCCTGGGCCTCCGCAGTCAGCATGCCGCACGCCTTCAAGCCCGGGGACTTGGTGTTCGCCAAGATGAAGGGCTACCCGCACTGGCCGGCCCGGGTGAGGCCGCGCGTGGACGGGCCCGACGGAGTTGGCCGCCCCGAGAAGAGGGGCGGCGGGCGCGCGCGGGGAGGCTGGAATGGAGGCGGAGGGGAGGCTGAGGAGGGGTTGGGACTGCGGGTTGAGGCGGATGCACTGTGGCTCTCTGGGAGCTGAGGACCGCCTTGGTCAGGAGCCACAGCGCCTGCTTTCTGGAGGGTCTTCGGGGCGGTCCCTCAGGGCTGGGGTATGGCAGTGTTTGGTCTGAGTGACCTGCGCCTCAGAGACGCACGGTCCCGCAGGCAACGTTTCGGCTGTGGCCGCTATCTTTGACCTCAGGAACCTGTTTCCCTAGTCTGGGGTCCAAGACCTGAGAGACCAATATACAAGGGTGTAAAAGTGCTTTTAGGGATCCCAAGATCGTGGAGCCTGCGGGGTGTAGTCGGGCTTCGTGGGGCCTGAAGGTGTAGCGAAGTCCAGGGGGTGCATGGGATTGGAATGGAAGGGTCAAATGATGGGAAGAGCCTGTCTCCCAGGAGTTGAAGAGGCTCCGTGTGGTGGTTGGGGAGCAAGGTGCAGCCCCAGAGGAGGGGACTTCATCTCCATTTAGGTCATGGTGAGGGGAATGGGGGCAGAGGTTAGAAGTCTTCTCTGGGGACCTGGAGCCAGGCCCTTCAAGGGATTTGGTGGAATGGCTCACCTGGGAACAGACAGCTTTAGGCTGGGGACAGGGGCTTTAGGGTTTCCTATTAGAGGAAGCTGGGGCCCTGGAGTGTAGGTTGTTTGGGGTTCACGGGTGATAGAATTCTGTCCCTGGCAAGGGAGGGCACATACACAGGGACCCAGCGGCTTCTGTTGCCCCCAGAACTTAGGGCAGGGACCACTCCAAGGCTGCAGTTGGCGTCCATGTGGCAGGACTGAAAGAATTTTGAGTTGTGTAAATGTCGGCTGGTGTTCCAGGCCCTGATGCACAAGTCCAGTTGCGTAAAGACAGAGTTTTGTTGCCTTCAGTTTTTAGTGCAGAAGCCAGTGTTGGCTGTGTCTGCATGGGGTGGGACTTCATGGCGGTGAAAGGCTGGACATCGGAGTTGCCATGGGGATGCCCCAAGATCAAGCTGAATGGAACCAGCTCAGTAGGTGGCCCCCTAATCAGAGGGCTGTTGTTGACTTTCTGAGGTGTGGGACCAGTGGGATAGGCACCCTAGCCAGCCTGGATGCTTGTGCATACGGTATCTTGCATCTAGCCACCAGGGACCAGAAAATGAACTAGTAGGACCAGAGAAGTGAGAGATGATACAGGATGCTGGCCAGGGAGGGAGGACCCAGCAGTCCCCCAGGTGTTAGTTAGATGGGTGGGTGGGTAAAGCATCACCCAGCCCTGGGAATCCCACTGTGTGGGGAGACTGGGGGAGGGGGCAAAACTTTGCAGTGGCCACTGCCCTCTCTAGCTTAGCTCTTTGCGAAGCTCTTGTGCCCTCCCCCTTCCCAGCCTTCTCCCGCACAGAGAGAACATTTCCAAGCACCTGATTGGAAGGGAAGGGGCTGCTAGCCTCCTGTGGGAAAGTGACTGGCAGCTGCCGGAGCCCATGGCTTGCATGAAGAGGGTGGGACTTCCGGGATGCTCTGGATCTGGCTGCTGCAGCCCCCCCCCCCCCCCCCCCCATCTTCAGCATCCCTGGAGCTGCCAGCTCCACATCTGGGGCGAGAGCAAACCTGACCTTTGTGCAGGCGTGTCGGTCGTGGGGGTGTGGAAGAAGCTGAGCCTATTCGCACCCCGTAGGGGTTCCAAGTGGCCATACTGGGCCTGGCTCAGGTTAAGTACCTGTATGGGATCTCAGCTTTCATCTTGGTGTAGAAAGAGAGGCTAGCAGTGGGTATGCACCTTTAATTCCAGTGCCCTCTACTTGGGAGGCAGAGACAAGTCCGAGGCCAGCTTGGTCTCCATAGTACCAGGACAGCAAGGGCTACGTAGTGAGACTGTCTCAAAAAAAAAAAAAAAAAAGCCAAATTAAGGGGCTAAGGAGCAGGCTTAGTGGACTTGATTTGGGCCCTCCAGACTTGCGTTTGGAAGGTGCTATATATCTCCAGAGTGTGCTTTTCCCTAAAGTAACTAGCCCTCACCTGGAGCCCCCTAACCACCCGCCTCTCACTACAGATCGATGACATCGCTGACGGTGCTGTGAAGCCCCCACCCAACAAGTACCCCATCTTTTTCTTTGGAACACACGAAACGTAAGTGTCTATTGCACAGACTGGCTTCTTTCCCAGAGTGCCCTGGCTCACCTGGAACTGGCCTGTGGTTCCTTCCTCCAGGGCCTTCCTGGGACCCAAGGACCTATTCCCCTATGACAAGTGCAAGGACAAGTACGGGAAGCCCAACAAGAGGAAAGGTTTTAATGAGGGACTCTGGGAGATCCAGAACAACCCCCACGCCAGCTACAGCGCACCACCGGTGAGTGCCTGATGCCAGTGGGCAGTGGAGTATTTGAGGGCTCCTGGAGGTGGGCTTCCTCAGAAGCTTCCGGGCTGCTTTCTCATACCCTGCAGCACTGTGGGTGCTGTGGATCGGGTCTTTCTTTGGGGTGGGTGTTCTCGGCTCTCCAGGGTGTGGATCAGCATCCTGGGTCTCTGCTTCCTCTACTTCAGGAGCTCCCAGGTCATTACCACAGGTGTGTCTAAATACTACCCAGTGTTCCCTGGGTGCAGACTCATGCTTGGTGGAGACCACCATCTTGGGATGAGCCTGGAATTCAGAGCAGAGTGTTACAGGTCTAATAGACACTTCTCTGATGTGGAGTGCTTCCTTTGGCTAGCACTCTCCTCTGTCCCCGGACTCCCTTTGTGGATTGAGTAAGGTAAGCCGTAGTTTGTGAATGTGAGAGCTCCTGGTCAGGGAGGAGAGGTAGCGCCAAGAGTCACAGAGACAGCATCTCCGGGCAGTCTGTCTGGAGAGCAGGACTCAGCAGCTGCTCACTGCCAACCTGATGACTGAGTTCCATCCCCACAAAGCGGGGAGGGGGGCTGGTTCCTGCTTGTTACCCTCTGGCCTCCTAAACAAATACAATTTCTCTAAAATTGAAACTTAGAAGTTAAAACCAATAGAAAGCCCCTGTGGAAGACTGGAGCGGGGGGGCCCATGTGGGCATTCTAGAGTAAGATGAGGGGAGAGGGTGTTGCGCTGCCTGGGGTCTGTCACACTGCTGTCTGTTACTGCTGCTTTGGGTTGTTGATGTTGTTTCTATGCACGTGTGTGCATATCTGAGGCCAGAGGTTGACATCAGTGTCTTCCTGATCACTCTCCACCTTACATATTGAGCCACAGCTTCTCATGAGTGCCTAGCTCACTCAGTTGGCTGAATAAGTTCCAGGGATCCCCTGATTGTGTCCTATGCACCTGGGCATACAATTGGGCTGCCTAACATCTCTGGGGATACCGAGAACCTGAATTCCAATGCTTTTGCTTGTACAGTAGGTGCTTTGCTGACTGAGCCATTGCCTCAGCCCCTGCTCTGGAGGTTTCCATGAGAAGTAGCTGGGTAGCGTCAGCTTGAGGAGGCTGGTTGTCTACTTGGGAGGTGGCCAAAGGGAGTGATCACTCAAGCCAAAACTCCTTGTTGGTGAAGAAGGACCACCTGGGTTTGCTGATAGCGTGCAAAGCAGGACTTGATAAGGGTCAATCCCAGCCTTGCATTTGTTGGTAGAAACCCATAGAGTCTGTTGTGGTTGGACCTTGAGATCTTGAGGTGCTCGGGTGCCCCTCCTTCTCTAACTGGCTCATGCTGGAGGGATTCTCCCCAAGGAGTACTGGACGTGGTTGTGTTGATACCTGGCAAGACCAGGATCACACACTAAGTTGGACCGAGTCCTGGCTTCAAGGAGTGCGTAGTCAAAATTGTGGGATTCCCACTGCAGGTGTCTCCTAAGAACTTCTGCCTTGACCAGCTTTGTCGAGGGGCTGGGGACATTTTCTCTTGTGTATGGAGAGTGGAGTCGCTCTTTGTGTGTCCCTCCTGGGCTGTACTTAGGCAGGGGATCTTGAAGTCGATCCTGTCATGATCTCTCCTGGCGCTGGTTAGAGCGTGCTCTAGTTACACATACTGAGCCCGTTGCCTGCTGGTGAATCATCACCGTATTTAATATTTATTGGACACCCATGACTTGCGGTCACCGTGCAGACAGATGCCAGTCCTCGAGGAAACGAAACTTGAACATGAAGTGCTAGGACCGTCCAGTTTTTCACATGCCCCCGAAGCAGAGTAGTTGGAACTCTGAGAACCCCTGGCTGCCCTGTGGTTCCGTGTCCCAGGTGTGCCCACAAGGAGGACATGAGTGTGGAATGTAGGTGCCTATAGGCCTGTCATCCCAGCATTCAGAGATGCTGAGGCAGAAGAATCAAAAGCTTAAGGTTCGTTTGAGTTACAGGGTGAGTACAGGGTTAGCCTGGGCTATACACAGTGATACCTTGAATTAAACAAAAAGAAAAGAAAGGAAGAGTTCTTGAGCCACTCTTGGAGTGGCCCTTCCAGACATTGTTGAGATACTTTTGGCATGACAGTGTGTATACAAGCCTTCAAACAGAAGCGTGATTTTGTTTTTGTTTTGTTTTGTTTTTGAACAGACTTTCTCTGTGTAGCCCTAGCTGCCCTGGAACTAGCTCTGTAGACCAGGCTGGCCTCAAACTCACAGAGATCTGCCTGTCTCTGCCTCCCAAGTGCTGGAATTAAAGGTGTGTGCTACCATCACCCGGCATGATTTTATGGGAAACTGATCTGTCTCTTTTCCCTAAATTAGACAGGAATTCAAACTTGACATTCAAAAAGAACACTGTTCTCTGAGGAGCTGTTCTGCCTCCTCACCTCCGGTTACTTTGTGTTGTTTTTTTTTTCCCAGATAGCCCTGCCGCAGTGCCTTCTTACTTCACAGAAAATCATACAAAGCTTTCTTTTCTCTTCTTAAGATGTCTTTATTTTTATTTTATGTGTATGGGTGTTTGCCTACAAGTATACAAGTGCACTGTGTGCCTGGTCCTTGAGGCGAAAAAAGGCTGCCAGATCCCTGGCACTGGAGTGAACAGACAGCTTATGGGTGCTAGAGGTTTCTTTTTTTTCCTTTCTTTTTTTTTTCTTTTTCCCTCACTTTTCTTTGACACATATTCCCCAATTTCTTCTGGTCAAAGTTCTTTGAGAACATTCCACCAGCTTAGTCAGTCAGAGAGTAGACAGACCTGACTCAGCCGTCGCTGTGATTAGCCCCGCAGATAGCATAGGTTTTAAACTGGCTGTTAAAGCTTCCAGTTACCTTGTCAGTCTCGACCACATTCATCTGGATACATGTGTGGTCCTTGGCACCGATGATGTGTTTGCTTGAGGAGCGTTTCCTTGGAATGTACAGGTCTACGAACTCACTAGCATTGTTCTGTATGTTGAGGTCTCAAGTGCCCATCCAAATCCAGTGAAAGCACAGAATGGAAGTGGCCCATCCCCTGGCAACAGTACTGGGTCAGATGCTGGGGACTGAACCCAGGCCTTCTGCAAGAGCCAGTGCTCATAACCATTTCTTAAGCCCCAGATTGCTTTCTTTCTTTTTTTAAGATTTATTCATTATGTATACAACATTCTGCCTCCATGTATGCCTGCATGCCAGAAGATGGCACCAGATCTTATTATAGATGGTTGTGAGCCACCATGTGGTTGCTGGAAATTGAACTCAGGACCTTTGGAAGAACAGCCAGTGCTCTTAACCTCTGAGCCATCTCCCCAGCCTCCAACTTTTGGGGTAGTTGTTTGTGTGATATATGCACGTATGGAAGCCAGGGCAAGAAGGTGGGGAATCATTCTATGTGACTCTCTGCTATATTGCTCTGAGACAGAGGCTTTCTACACTGGAGGCTGACAGTCTCGACTGGGTTGGCTGCTTGGTGAGCTGGGAGACACCTGTCTCAGCCACAGACCCTCACAGCTGTGGCTTCTTATGCGGACACAGGTCCTCATGGTTACTAAAGGAAAACCTTTTATCCATAGAGCCCTCTGTTTCAAACCATCTTGGGTTTTTTGTTGGTTTTTTTTTGGGGGGGGGGTTGTTGTTGAGATAAGATCTTACCATGTAGCCCAGCCTTACTTCAAACTCACTAAAGAGGATGGCCTTGAACTCCTGATTCTCCTGCCTCCACCTCCTAAGGGCTGAAATGACAGGCGTGTGTCACCATCTTACCCTCAACATTAATCTTGGTCTCTCCCCTCTTCTGGCCAGGGTGCCAGATGGTAGCAGCACACTTAGGACCACAATGCCGTTCAGCCCTGCTGTGGTCCTCAAGTGGGGAGACCTTTGTTTTATGCTTGATACCCAGACAGTTTGCTTGGGCACCAAGAGGGGTCCAGCTGGGTTCTGAGGCCACTCAGACTTAAACAAAACTATTCAACCACAGCGCATCTTTTCCTTTTAGAATTTTTTTGTTGTTTTTGTTTGGTTGGTTGGTTGGTTTTGTTTTTTTCCGAGACAAGGTTTCTCAGTAGCTTTGGTGCCTGTCCTGGAACTAGCTCTTGTAGACTAAGCTGGCCTTGAACTCACAGAGATCTGCATAGTGTTGGGGTTAAAGGCCTGCACCACCACTGCCTGGCTTCCTTTTAGTTTTTAGTTATGCTCATGTATGCCTCGTGGCACTTTTGAAGGTCAGAAACAACTTGTGATAGTTTATGTTCTCCTTCCACGTAAGGGTTCTGGTGATCAAACTCGGGTTGCCAGGCTTGGCAGCAAGCACCTTTATCCACTGAGCCCTTTGACTGGCCCTGACACAGTTTTTCAGGTGGGGCAGATGACTCTCTGGTAGAGTAGACTTTGTATATCAGAAAGGCCCAAGCAGCACCCTGGCCTGAGTTTGTGCCTGTCCTACATCAACCTTGCAAGTACAAGATTACAGGTATGGGACTCATTGTCATTCATGGCTGTGAGCCATTTACCTTAAAGGGGTCCCACTGAGTTGGAGAGACAGCTCATTTGGTAAAGTAGTTGTCGTGAATCAAGAGGACCTGACTCCCAGGCAGGTGTAGGGCTTGTTTGGTCTCAGCACTGGGGAGACAAGCAGTGGGGGCTTTGAGCTCCCACCAGCTGACCTCACCACCTCAGTAAGTTCCAGCCCAGCGCACACAACCTTGCCTCAGAAAGCAAAGCAGCCAGCTCCTACGTAGCAACAGACAAGCTTGGCCCATTCTAGGCACACCTATTTTTCATCGTTCTTGTTTATGTTTTGGCTATGATTTATGTAAACACGCACACACATTGAGGTCAAAGGACAACTTGTAGTGGTTGGTTCTCTCTTTCTACCATGTGGGTCCTGACGATCAACTTCAGAGCATTAGACTTGGTGGCAGGCAGCTTTACACACTGAGCCCTATCACCAGCCCTGTAATATTTTTGTTTTGTTTTGTTTTGTTTTGTTTTGTTTTGTTTTGTTTTGCCATGTAACCCAGGCTGAATTCAATCAGGACTTCTGCTCAGCCTCTCTCGATGATGGGATGAGGAGTAGAAGCCCCAGACCTGGCTTGTCCAGGGCTCTCGAGCTAGTTAGCAACTCAGTGGGCTGGGTGCACAGTGCGGGCTCCTGATGCTAGGCATATTCCTTCCCTGTCAACCGGCACCTGTGCCCACAGGCTGCTGAAAAGGGAGCAGTTGATGTAGAGCCCCACTCCAGAGGCACTCAAGCCCTGGGTCTCTGTACCACACCTACATGCTGTTTGCCTCTCTGTCCTACCTGACCCCCAGGCAGTGAGGGCAGCACTCAGTGAACACTGGGCATAGCTACTGTCTTAGGGTTTCTTTTGCTGTGATGAGATACCATGACCAAAAGCAACTTAGAGACAGAAGGGTTTATTTGGCTTACACTTACATCACTGCTCCTCTTGAAAGAAGTCAAAACAGAAACCCAAACAGATCAGGAACCTGGAGGCAGGTGGATCTCTGTGACTTTGAGGGCAGCCTGGTCTACAGAGTGAGTTCCAGAACAGCTAGATCTGTTACACAGAGAAATCCTGTCTCAAAATACCAAAGCAAAATAAACTAGCTATCACACCATCCTCCAGGGCATGGACTGCCCTGCTGTGGTCACTTCTTAATTCATCCAGGCAAACACTGAACACCGTCTATTTTTATTTTTGAAATTTTGAAACAAGGTCTTATGTAGGCCAAGCTGGCCTGGAACTCATGATTCTGCTGCCAGTCTCTTGAGTACCAGGAAGACAGTTATGTGCCGTGATGCTCAGCTTTGAGGTGCAATGTTTTGGTGTCCTGTTGTTTTGGAGACAGGGTCTTGTGACACCTGCAGCCATTGTGCAAGTGTGAGGTGAGAAGACAGCCTCTGTGTCAGTCCTCTCTGCCTTACTTGAGGTAGGGGTTCTTCTGCAGTGACCAGGCTGTCTGCCAGCTCCCAGGGATTCTCCTGTCTTCATCACAGTAGGAAGGCCTTGATTACAGCTGCACACCACATCCAGCTTTCATGTGTGCTCTGGGGGTTTGAACTCCAGTCCTCACGCTTGTACAGGAAACGCTTTTCTCCCCCACCCATGGCACCTATCCATTGCCCAGGTTTCAAGGCCACAGTGGGCCTGGGCCGCAGGTCTCATACTCACCTTGAGTTGTACAACTGATGCACAGCCTCTCTATGCCCTTGTCTTGCAAGATCAGGACACCCTACACTCCTTGTCATCCATGAACCACAGGCTCTCCATGGTATGATACTGCCCTATCCTTCCATGAGAGTCACTCAGCATTGTCATTTTTGGGAATGAGAGGAAGGGAGAAGATAGAGTCAGTCCCATGCCCTCCATGGGGAAGATGTGTCTCGCAATCCACACAGGCCCTCATTTTCCCTCTCCATGTGTTTGGGTTAGGGTTCACCCTACTTGAGCATCACACAGTTCAAAATGGTTCAGGCAGGGCTGTGTCACAGCACTTTGGCTACATGTGAAGCTCTTTGGCCCTGGGAAGGTAAATGCTCTTTGCATGGAACAGCTCGATCAGGCCAGCACCTGGCTTTCCTTTGCTGGGCTCATTAGCCTGGGCTAGGTCTGTGCTGAGAACTCAACCTCTGCTCTCAGCTGGGGAAGACGGCTGGAGAGCCATTGCAACCCCCCACCCTCACCGCCTCTCCCTCCTTCCTTTGCTTTAACTCCTTTTGTGGCTGAAGGTGACTTTAGGCTGTTGATCTGCCTTTCTTTGCCTCCCACGTACTAAGTGATGAGTCTGACCTGTGTTTCCATGCTATGGTGTGAGTTTCCACATCTGAGCTCATGCTAAAGCACCTGGGAGACCTGAACTACTTTATCTCCCATTCTGGTCACCTGTCTCCAGCTGCAGCTCATTTCTGCTCTCATCTGTGTGTGCCCATCATGGCTCCTGGAGTCTTCTCCATAGCGTTTTCTCTCAGCCTCTGCAAGACTCCATCTGCCATCCCCTGTTCCTCAGGCCCACTGCAGTGCTACAACACTTATGAAGGTCAGGTGACAGACAACTTTTGGAATAGGTTCTCTCCTTCCACCATATGCATCCTGAGGCTCAAACCCAGGTCATAGCAAGTGCCTTTACCAGCTGAGTTTCTCCCTAACCCTAAACCCTAGATTCTTGGATGTATAAGCACTCTGGAAGCAAAGGCAGGTGGATCTCTCAGAGTTCAAGGCCAGCCTGGTATAGATAGTGAATTCCAAGACAGCCAGGCTACATAGTGAAACCCTGTCTCAAAAAAAAAAAAAAAAAAAAAAAAAAAAAAGGATGGTCAGGGTTGTCCATGAGGTCCAGGTCTGCAATCTCGCCCGAGGGTAGCAAGGGCACACCATTTAGCCACCCCTAAAGCATCAAGTAAACTTCCTCTTTAACAGGCTTTCACCACCATGTGACTGCAGTACCCTCCACTCTGCAGCGCTGTGGCACTTACCCTGCCCTTGGCACTTTGTTTTTCCACCCAGATTCACCCACTGTAGACAGAGACCCACACTGCAACACAGTCATCCTGGGTAGCCCAGGCTGACCTGGAACTACAATGTAATTGGGATTTTAGGCCTGCGATGTACACCAGTGGCTTGCTGGCCATACTCACTATCTCTGGCTGTACCACATCTTTCTCATTCCTTACTTGATGCAAATTTGAGTTTTTTCTAGACATGGTTCTAGAAAAATGAACAACTGCCCCCACCCCTACCCTTAGGCAGCAGTTATACAAAATGACAGTGATGGGCTCAAGTGGCTATGCCAGGGGAGGTCCAGTACTGTTACTACTTTTACCTGTTGTCTCCTCTTAGATTGAACTCCCTGAGGTCCAGACCAAGTCTGACTTCTGGCACATAGTAAGTGCCCCAAGTGTATATTGGATGAATGAGTGTGGGCTAAACACAACTGGGGCTCACACATTCTCCCTGTACCCTGAGACTTCTTGTGCCTCCTGACCAATGGTTTCAGAACCTCAGTAAATCCATGCACGAGCTGACCACAGCCTCATCCTCAATCTCTTTGCCATCGGTGCCTTCTGTCTGTACCCTGACATCACAGCCTCTTCCTTTTGCTAAGAGGACCCTCACTCCATCATGCCACTGTGAACTGCATCTTGCCCATCCTGCTCTATCTCTTGATATCACTGAGCGCCCAGTGCAAATCCTTCACTTCTTGGTACTCACAGCTACACAATGTTTCTGTCTTCCTAGTCACTGTTTAGGAGCCTTGTGTGGTCTGCTTGTCCCTAGGTCCTCGGCTCCTTGGTGGGACAGGAGACCAAGCTGCAATCATTGTTCTATACAGAGCCTGTGGTGTAGTTGGCCTGTGGCTGCTGCCTGAGCAGGCATTGTGAGGGTGACAAGTTCAGTAGTGCCCCCGAGGCTGGCTTTCTTCTCACGGTACTAGGGTAGCTTGAAAGAGAGCCAAACCAAGCCTGTTTGGGCAGGTCTCTCATCCCAGCGTAACGTCAGGGCCAGCCCAGGATGAACAGAGTATGTCCCAGGACACAGCCTGGGCTTCTTAGTCCCCTGTCAAACATGGAAAGTAAAAAGTGCCAGGGTTGTAGCTCAATGGGATAGTGCCTAGCATGCATGAAGACCTGTGTTGTGTCCCCAGCGGCACACACACACACACACACACACACACACAAAAACCTACAATTTGTATGATCTCTTGCTGTGGTTTACGCACTACCCTGACTTTATGTGATGGCTCTGTGTTACCTTCAACAGCCTTATGGGGTCAAAGCTGTGATCTCCCTTTCTCAGATGGAAACTGAGGCACAGAGCTAAAGCACTTACACTGCATCCTACCACCTGATTGTCATGTCCACCATAGATGTCTCCATCTTGGCTCTCCTGCCTCAGTTCCCCAACTCATGAGTGAGGTGGCCATACCCTGAACCTGGATTCCCTACATTAGATGCTGTCTACCTAGTTACCAGGGGGCTAGGAAGTCTACCTGGCCCCTTGATGAATGTCTGTCACCCCAATCACAGCCCATGAGCTCCTCTGACAGTGAAGCCCCCGAAGCTGATCTGGGTGGTGGCAGCGACGGCGACAAGGATGAAGAGGCCCGGGGAGTCATGACCGTGACAGCTGTGACCACCACAGCCACCAGTGACAGGATGGAGAGCGACTCTGGCTCTGAGAAGAGCAGTGACCACAGTGGCCTGAAGCGGAAGACACCAATCCTGAAGGTAGTGGGTGGCCACTTGGGGCCTGACCTCTTGTGACCCTTCATCTTCTCCTGCCCCTCACCGTAGCGTTTGTTTTTGTTTTGTTTTGTGGTAAGGTCTCCCTGTATAATAGCCCAGTTGGGCCTGAAACTTGTAATCCTTCTGCCTCAGTACTCATTTTTGACAAGAACTGAGATGAAATTCAGATTTCAGATACCTTGAAATTAATCCCCAGGGAGGCAGGATATGGCTCTCAGTAATGTTCTGGATCTCTGTGTGTGTGATATGTACACATTTCTGTCCCTGTGTCTAGAGAGAGCCCAGCGGTTGGCATCAGGTACCTTCCTCAGTTTCTCTCAGTCTTGTATTTTGAGACAGTCTCTCCCTGCACTGCTCATCATTTCCACTAGGCAGCCAGTGAGCCTGGGGACCTTGTCTCTGTCTCCCCAGGTCTGGATTACAGATGTGGGTTTGCTTTTTTGTTTTTCTTATTTTCTGCATATGGATCTTTTACCTGCATGTCTGTCTGCATACCTCATTTGTGTTTGATGCCTAAAACTAGAGATACTGTTGGATATCCTGGGACAGAGTTATAAATGTTTTGCTTCTTCGAGACAGGGTCTCACTATGTAGCTTTGGCTTCCCTGAAATTCACTATGTAGACTAGGCTGACCTTTAACTCAGAGATTCCCCTGCCTGCCCTGAGTGCTGAATTAGAGGTGGGCATTACCACTCCTAGCTTTGTGGTTACTGATGGCTGTGAGCAGCCTTGTGCATTCTGAGAACCAAGCCTGGGTCCTCTGGAGAGCAACTAGTGATCTTAAGTGCTGAGCCATCGCTCAAGCCACAGCCTCTTTTTTAAAGTCTATTTTTCATCATGTTTGTGATTTGTGCCTTGGCAGAGGGTGCACATGCATGTAGGTGCCTGTGGAGTCCAGCGGTATCTAATCCCCTAGGACTGGATTACAGATGGTTGTGAGCCTCCATGTGGGTGCTGGTCACCAAGCTTGGGGCCTCTGTGAGAGCAGCTGGTGCTCTAACCATGGAGCTCCTGCTCCAGCCAGAAATGGGGCATTTCTGTGTGGGTGCAAGGGATGGACTGAGGTCCTTGGGCTTGCACAGTAGGTGTTGTCGCTGCTGAACTGCCACCCCTGTTCTTTACATACTGTTTGTGTGTGTTGGCGTACTTCTCTCTGCCACAGTGAGCTGCACTACCTCCCCCACAGTTCTTACCGAGAGTCTGCCTCTCCACCACCGTGTGTGTGTGCATGTGATTTTCCTTTTGATACAGAACTTGTGTCTATCCAACCTCATCAGACACTCCTCACCAAGCCCCTGGAACCCACCGTTACACACACACACACAACACACACACTCCTCTCTCTGGTTCTGATAACTGAAGGGATAAGAAGCTCCTAGAAGTGGGACCTGCAATACTGCAATAAGTGTGTCTCTGTATGTGGCTCGCATCACCATCCCAGAATTCAGGAGCACCAAGGCACATAGGAGGGTCCCATCTGGAACCAGGACTGTCCAGCTGTTGACCCAGCCTGGCCCTGCCTTCCAGATGTCAGTCTCTAAACGAGCTCGGAAAGCCTCCAGTGACCTGGATCAGGCCAGCGTGTCCCCATCGGAAGAGGATTCTGAGAGCCCATCTGAGTCAGAGAAGACCAGCGACCAGGTGAGTGGACAATAGCCCCTAGGACAGCCTGGCATGCCAACCAGTACCCCTGACGTTTCTGTCTCTTCACCCAGGACTTTACCCCAGAGAAGAAGACAGTGGCCCGGGCACCACGGCGGGGTCCTCCAGGAGGACGCAAGAAGAAGGTAAGGGTGCTGTGCCTAGGTCCTGAGAAGTCACTAGCAGCCTGAGGGGCCATCTATGGCAGTGGCACCTGGGACCCAGGTATGCAGTGATGCCCCTGGGGCTTGCAGGTCATTGTTGCCCCTCTCAGGGGATCCTACTACCAGGATTGAAAAATCAGGTCCTGTATGCCAGAATGTTGTGGCATCAAAGGTCACATGTGCTATGTGCATGTGGGCGTGTGAGGACTTAGGTTCACAAGGTTGCTCGTGCATGTACAGGTGTGTTCATGTGTCTGTGGCCATGTGTGTGATGTGGACGTTACATGTTGTACTGTGGCATGCATGCTGTGGAAGGACAGCTGGACAGTAGGAGGCAGGGCTGGCCTATGCAGGTTTTCGGTGCACACCTGCAGTTGAAAGCCCCTGGGCTTGGCCCTGATCCTGTTCCCAGGAGCTATCCAGGGTGTCCAGGACCCATGTTCCTTCTGTGGGTGAGGCACAGAACTGTGTCCCTTGAGGACTGGAGCTGCCTCTGCCCCCTTACTCTCACCCTATGCGATTCCCCTCTGGCTCTGCCTGTCCCCAGAAGGTGCCTTCAGCCTCAGATTCAGACTCCAAAGCCGACTCAGATGGGACCAAGGAGGAGCCTGTGGCTGCAGCACGGCCATCCCCATCCTCCTCCTCGTCCTCTTCATCTTCCTCCTCCGACTCAGATGTATCTGTCAAAAAACCCTCTCGAGGCAGAAAGCCAGGTAAGGCCTGAGCCAGCCTCGATGCAGCCCTGTGAGGCCATGGAGAGAAAGTCACCCCTCATTTTTCACAGCCGAGAAGCCACCCCCCAAGCCTCGAGGACGGAGACCAAAGCCAGAACGGCCACCTTCCACGTCCAGCAGTGACAGGTGGGTATCTGCTGGCGATGTGGGGGCTACAGGGTATGCTGGGGTTCTTGCTGATGGACTTTCCATTCTAGTGACAGTGACAGTGGTGAGGTGGACCGCATCAGCGAGTGGAAGCGGCGAGATGAGGAACGGAGGCGCGAACTGGAGGCAAGGAGGCGACGGGAGCAGGAGGAGGAACTCCGGCGACTTCGCGAACAGGAAAGGGAGGAAAAGGAGCGTCGCAAGGAGCGGGCAGAGCATGGGGGCAGCAGTGGGGAAGAGCTGGAGGATGATGAGCCTATGAAGAAACGCAGCCGCAAGGCCCGGGGCCGGGCCACACCATCCTCCTCTGACTCAGAACCCGAGGGGGAGATTGGGAAAGAGGTATGTGGTACCCCCTCTTGACATGAGGCCCCAGGCACCGGCCCTGAACTCCACTCCTTTATTGAGCCCCTATTGTGTATTGGGGCTCATCCAGGGTCTTGTAGATATGTCAGTAACACAGAGCCCAGGGCCCTACCCATGGAAGATAGAGATAGCCATTTGAGTATAAGGCTTGCCTGTCAAATGGAACATTGGATTCCATACATCTATATAAGACCCACATGTGCTGGGTGGGGGTGGGACAGGCTGCTTCTGAAGCAGCAACCCTGTTTTCTGGTTGCTGTAGGGGAAGAAGTTGGCCAAGAAGTCCCAACTGCCAAGCTCAGAATCTGCAAGGAAGTCTGGGCAGAAGGAGAAGAGAGGGCGGCCAGATGAGAAGCCACGAGCCAGGTTAGCACCTGTCTTGAGCCCTGGACTTAGTCCCTCTCCCCTCAGCCTGGCTGTTGAGTTCAACCTTGAAGCCGCATTCATCCGAGGGTCCCAGCTCTTGGGTACACGTCTCCCCTGGGGCCATGTGTGGCCTGACAAGGACCTATAGAGGGTAGAGGCCAGCAGCCTTCAGGGCCCAGAACGTAAAGAGCCATCCAGCCAGTGTCCACAGCACCCAGGGGACACCATGCCCACCACAGTGGCTTTAACTCTGAGAGGTGTAGCGCCTCTCTGCTTTCTAAGTGTCCCAACTATTGCTGATCAGAACTACCCATGGGGATCAGCAGTGTGGCTTGGTGGCCACACAGCACAAGATGTGATATGCTCACTGGGCTTCTCATGGTTAGCCTGGTTCACAGAAGCAGAGAAGGGTCCCAGGCCCCTGGCCTCGCTGTCTGTCCTCACCTTGGGCCTCCCGAGGTGGCCTATCTGACGGGAGCCTCTCCATAGGCCTGTGAAGGTGGAGCGGACGCGGAAGCGCTCAGAGGGCCTCTCACTGGACAGGAAGGGGGAGAAGAAGAAAGGTGAGCACTAACGTGGTGCAGGATTCCATGGCTCTAGTGTGGGCCTGTGGTGGTGGGAGGTGCTGGGTCACCTTGTAGCCAGGGCCATGGCACCCTGTGCAAGCCAGCATCTCTCCTGCCCAGAACCTTCCGTAGAGGAGAGACTGCAGAAGCTGCACAGCGAGATCAAATTTGCACTGAAGGTCGACAACCCAGTAAGATGCCTGCTGCGCAGCCACAGAGTCACAGCCCCACGCTGTCCTGAGATGGGTGCTTTCCTTAGCCACCTCCTTTCAGGCTTCTTGAAAGTCTTGGGAAACTGAGGCAGGGTCCCCCAGATGGGGGAGTGGTTCATAGTGGCCCAGGAGACCCCACCCCCACTCCCATACCCTGCAATCTCCCCTGGGGACAGCAGGCAGCACCCTAGGAGACAGCCAGAGATGCCTCCCCACTCTTCCTGCTCTGCAGGATGTGAGGAGGTGCCTGAGTGCACTGGAAGAGCTGGGGACCCTGCAGGTGACCTCTCAGATCCTTCAGAAGAACACAGATGTAGTAGCCACACTGAAGAAGGTATGGCATGGGGCACCAGAACAGAGTACCTGGAAGGTTGTATTAGTGTCCAGTGGGAGGACTTAGGGGCACAGCCAGCAGCCCAGCTAAGATTGACCTCCTGGTGGCCAGATTCGCCGGTACAAAGCCAACAAGGATGTGATGGCGAAGGCAGCAGAGGTCTACACCCGGCTCAAGTCTCGGGTCCTGGGGCCAAAGGTTGAGGCTCTCCAGAAGGTGAACAAGGCTGGAGCCGAGAAGGAACGGGCTGACGGCGAGAAGGTGGAGGAGCAGCCTGGGGAGCAGGCTCCCAGAGAGCTGGTGGAGGATGAGCCCAATGCTGGTGAGGGCTGCCTGCACCTGGCCAGAGGGATAGGCAGGAACTGTGCCATGTTCGTCCCCCAGTAAGCTTACTAGACCCAACCATATTCTGCGATAGTTGGCATAAGGTTTGCCAGCTCTACTGGGTGCCAACAGTTGGATGTTGGCAGTGCTCTTTAGGCCACACACCTACTACATGTACCTGCACTGCTTGTAACCCTGACTGCAACTGGGCAAGGAGGGTCCTCGTGAGAGGCAAGCAGTGTGCTCATGACGACCCTGTTACCCTAGATCTCTCAGTGCCTGTGAACGGGGAGGCCACATCCCAGAAAGGGGAAAGCACAGAAGACAGAGCACAGGAAGACGGGCAGGACTCAGAGGATGGCCCTCGGGGTGGCTCCTCAGAAGAGCTGCATGAGTGAGTGTCCCTGGGGCATAAGGCACATTCCCTCTCCCCACCCCTGCCATATGCTGGGCTGGCCAACACACTGATTGTGGTCCACATCACGCCACCCCAGGCTTCCAGCCACTGGACTGAGCTACAGTTGGCCACACCAGGCACTTGTGCCAACAGCAAGGGCAGTACCCTTCTTTGGCTGCCCACTCATCCAGTGGCTCTGTGGTAACACCAGGTAACTGCATCCTGATCAACCTTTACTGTGCCCCCAGCAGCCCACGGGAGAGCTCTGACCCCGTCAGGCCTGGGAGTGAGCATCAGGAGCATGAGAGGGTGCAGCTGGCCTCCGAGTCTGCCGATGATGATGATGACAGCTGAGCTCCAGCTGCTGTGGCCATGGTGTCATGTCCGTCCCCAGCCTCCCAGGGAAGTGCTGCGCTGTTTGTATTTGTGGCCTGGGCCTTTCTGCCTAGTTCTGTGATTTCGACTGACATGAAATGGTTATAAAGGGTTTTGTAATGAAAAAGAAACAGTTTTTATTGGCTTGGTGTCCTGATATAAAATGTAGCTGGGCTAAGGCCAGAGCACTATGCCTGACACAGGGCTGAGGTACCAGCCACCGTGAGCAGCATGGGGAGCCAGGCCTGGTACAGGGCAGGGTTCACACTTAGAGGGCAGCAGAGCTCTTCCTACATTGAGTAGCCTGTTCCACCATCATGAGAGTAACAGACACTAAGGACAGGCCAACAGAAGACTGTGCCCTGACTCAACCACCATTCCATTCCCCAGCTATGCAGGGACCCCAGCATAGTGCCTCTGGGGCAGCTCAGCATTTGGGCTGGAGTATTGGAGTCCACACCATCCCAGCGTGCTCTCGCTATGTGGTTTTTCTGCTTTGCTTATGTTCCCTGTGGGCTCAGGTAGGGTACATGCCTCTCGGTGTATCCACCTGCCTCCATGGCCACCATGGAGCATGATGTAGGGAGACTCATCTAGAGGCATAGCTGCAGGCCCTGGGCCCAGTCTAGTGTTGCATCCTGATGCTGAGAGAAAAAGGGAAAGGCTCAGGAAGGCTCCTGTCTTCTCTGTCACGGCCTCTCCGCCATGTCCTCTCCTAGGCCACAGCCCAACCTTAGAACTCAAGGACATTGTTACTTTCTAAGAGTGCACAAAAAAGGGAACAGGAAGATTGGGAGTTGCTAGCACTGCTGGGGTTCAGGTAGAGCTGGACTGTGGCCTTGGATGGCCGGTCCATAGGGGGATTGCCTTGTACCCCATCATCTTCTGTGTTTTTGTCTTGGATGCATAGGACGAGGGAGAAGGGCCATCACCTGCCTGTGTCTCCAGTCAGTACTTCAACCCTAGGCAGGCATATCCTCATGCAGACCACAGTTTCAGCAGTGACAGCCCTGTCAAGTGGTCCCTGTCTCTGTGCGGTGATACATGTGTGACCCTCCTTTCCCAATAGAGCCGGTCAGACTCAGGCCCGCAGCATGCTGGGATATAAGTGTGGCTTTGAGTGGCTCTATACCCCACTATGTATCAGAAGGGGCTGTGGGAGCTTGCCTTAGGGTGGCTGTGCATTCTAGTACATTCTAGTGCTGGGGAACAAGTTGCCTAATATGTTAACTAAGACCTCTGGATACACTGCTCAAGGTGGGACCTGGGGTTGAGTGGCACCACTCATAGCAGAGAGCTATGGGCCCCTGAAGGTAGGGTCAGAGCCCAGAGGCTGGAAGGCTTGTCAGTGAGGATAGCCGAAGGGCTTCCGCTTTGCTCTATCATCGGGACCTGTGTGCTGCTCTCTGAACAGACTTGGTGGCTAGTTTGGAAGAGGAGCTATCAGTTACTGGAAATAGCAAGAGCCATGACTGGTTTCAAATTGACTTTCCAAGGACCCTCTGCTCTCCCTTAATCCAGAACTTTGGGGTTGTGAAGCCCTCAGGTATCTATAGCTGGTCACCAGGCATCAAAGCAAATGGTCCTACCAGCCAGCTGAGTGGGGGGCTCTGCTGCAGCCTGTCCAGCAGCACCTCTAGACCCTGCCATGCCTGTACCACACCAGCACTGCTCTGGGCCAGCTGCTCTGCCTGCAGCTCGCCGCTGCTCTCAGAGGACACAAGACCATACAGTTTGCAGAGGCTGTGCCGTGCCAGCCCTGCCTGCTGCTGCACCTCTGGCAGGCCCTGCAGACTGGCTGCCAGGCCGCTGTAAGCTGCATGGAGCTGGCAGGCTAGTGTACATAGCCTGTCCTGAGCCCTGGAAGCACACACCTGCAGAGGAAGAACAAGGTAAGCAGGGGTGGGACATGTGCTGGGTGCTGGGGAGGGGCCCATGCCACACACACCTCATGGGTACCAGCAGCCTCCGCCTTGGAGCCCAAGCTCTGGTTCCCGCACAGCTGCCCACCTGGAGCCTCCATGGTCATGTCTGTCTGGAAAGAGAGCCACAGGAGAGGTGGTGGCTCTAGTGGAGGTAGGAACACTCAGTGCTATCCCTAGATCTTGAGTCTAAACCTCTTCATACATGGTGCAGCCAAAACACAAATTCCACCTGAGGGCATCTGGAAGGCCAGGTGCTGGTCCCTCTATGTCCACTCATCTCCTACCCCACTGTTCCTTTGCACGCCCACACAGGTTCCCTCTGTCCCCCGGGATCTACCTCCCGTGTATACCTCACCATGCCTGATCTGTCCCTCCCATGTTTCTAGTGTCCACTTAGGAGACGGGGGGGGGGGGGGGGGGGGGGGGGGGGGGTCACGGGGCAGGGAACCCGGTTTGCTTTTGGGGGGGAGGGGGGGGGGGGTGGTGGGGGGGGGGGGGGGGGGGGGGGGGGGGGGGGGGGTGGGGAAGATGACAGGAATGCCACCCAGCCCCCAGAATACCAGCCCTGTGTGTCCATAATGCCCAGCAGAAGCCTGGAGACAGGACTAGGGGTGAAGAACCCTTGCTGGGGCCCTGTCACCCTCACTACCCTCTCGCTGTCTTAGGTTCACAGCCACACACCCAGCTTACTAGATAAAGCTAGTGCATGCTGCAGCTCCCTCTGTATGCAGGTGGCTTGACCCGTGAACAGTTGGAGGTACACAGGGTGGGAAACGGAGATGCTCTTACCACCTGGAAGGCCTCCTGGAGTTGGGCCAGTGTAGCTCTGGCTTGGAACTGCTTGTGCTGTATATGGCTCAGGGCATGTTCAAAAGCCCGCTGGCGGAAGCTGGGGGCCAGGTCACCTAGGCGGACAAAGTAGCTTCCCTGGTCAGCAGAGAACACCCGGGGCCCTGACTCTGAGGCCGCCAGCTGGGCTGGAAGGAAGGCAGTGAGACTTAGTCTGAGAGGTCTAAGAGCTGGGGCTGGGGACCTGCGATGGTGACAGACAGGCACTAACCTTGTTCCTCAGCTGTCATGGGCTGGAAGATGTCCCCGAGCCCTTCCAACTCATCATGAAGTGTAGCAAAGCTTGTCGCAGCCAGCTGACCATACTCCTCCTCAGACTTGGTAGCTGCATGGACAGGTGAAGCCACACTAGACACAAGGCCTTTGGTGGCAGCTATGGGTTCTGTGACAAGCTCCAAGCCACAGGTGTCTGCAAGGCTGCTGATCTCAGAGCACGAGGATTCTGCAGAAGTCAGGGTAACATGTTCCACTCCATGGGTGGTGGCGTGAGAGCCAGAGAGTGAATGTGGGACTGTGTTGACACCTGTGTGGGTGGCGTTGATAGCCACATTATCTGCCTGAGTCCGCATGGCAGACCATGTGTCCTTGGGAGTGTGCAGGCCCTTCTGAAAGACACCTTTGGCCATGTTCATGGCCCCAGTGATCCCAGCACAGACAGTATCCTTTGTACCTGTGAGCATGCTCTTGCTCGTGTCCAGGCCTGTCTTCATTGTCTCAGTGGCCATATTCATGGTGCCTGAGAGGCCAGCCAACATTGTAGTCTTGGTACCTGTAAGGATTGCTTTAGAAGTGTCTATGCCCCCCTGGGCAGCCCCTTTGGCCACATTAATGGCCCCTGTGAGTCCTGTGGTCACCGTGTCCTTGGTGCCCATGACCACGGATTTGGTGGTGTCTAGACCAGTCTGCACTGTCCCTTTGGCCACGTTCACAGCCCCTGTGAGTCCTGTGGTCACCGT